CCTTGCTTTACTGTAGATCCTTACTTGTCTCGTGAATTGAACCTTGATCATTCTCCGAACCCGCTTGGCCTGGAACCTCACCCCCTTCCATATCGCATTGCACCTTGCCAGCAATATTTGGTGTGACGTCGTGGCGATCAAAGAGGCTTTCGGGAAGCCTGACTCCGTCCATGTTTCTTGTCATCACGACTGTGAGGAAACGCTGTTATGATACGATCCACAAATGATATTTGTAAGGAGTGTACTATTTGACTATATAGGCGCTGTCACAATTAATCGTATGATTAATCACAAAATGTATTAATCATTCACAAATAATTTAAATCACAAGCACGTTTTAGCGATCGCGAAGTTAAATATTGTTAAAACACTCGCTACCATATATCAAATAAAAAGGTGATGCTGGCGGTGTGTGTCAGAAGTCGACGAACCAGAACTCTCCACGCGCAACACAATCGTTGGGTAGAATCAGGGCGGGATAAAAATTCGAAGCGCATTCCACCTTTAGTCAGCCAATCACATTTGTTACCGAACCACACAAACTTGATCGATTGGTTCCAGAAATCTTGGCCGCGATTGCCTTGCGACCTTGAAGAATCGCGCCTTGAAAAAGGCACTTCACCAGAATGTTGTTAGATCCGAGGCCCTCAGAAGTTACTTTTCACGCCCGCCAATTTTCGGATGTGTTACCAGTCTCTAAGTTTCGTCTCTGATTCTATTGGTGAAGTGACTTCCTCGGCGATGATCACGGCACAGAGCGTCGTGCCCGTGCTGCGCATCTCCCGCCACATAGGTCCCACCTCGCGCATTCCGCGACGCGAGTCACACTGAAACTGCAGGCAGACGGCAGTCGCCTCGACTAATATCCGGAGCATGCAGGAAAATTTTCACACTGAACTGCCTGTCACAAGAAAGACGGCAGTCGCCGCGACGAATATCCGGCATGCGGGAAAATTGTCACACTGAACTGCAGTCACAGAAGCAAACGGCAGTCGCCGCGACTAATAACACTGAAACCGGATCAGACGGCAGTCGCCGCGACTCCGCATGCGGGAAAACTGAGAGCAATGGATGGCTGCTGTGGGAACCATCCAAGGGTGTGCTGTTTGACAGCAGGGATGTGAAATTTATTGAGGGCATGATGTATGGGAGCTGGGAGAAACAACCAGAGGCAAGGGTGTCCCAGCAGATGGAGCAGATCACCATGCAGCTGGACCTGACTCCTAGTGTGTGGGAGGAGGGAGAGGAGGCAGCTGCGGGGAATGGTGATGGAGAAAATGTACAGGAGGCACCTGCTGGTGGAGGAGAGGCTGGCGATAGCACTAGTGAAGCTGCTGGATCCGAGGGAGGAAAGCAGCAGCAGGGGAAAGCTAAGAAGCCGAAGGGTGTCGTTATGAAGGGATGGGAGACACCCGTCTCCAGGCCAGGACGTACCCGTATGGCTACTAAGAAGCTGACTGCAGGATCAGGTGTAGCGGAGCAGCAGCTTGGGACCGAGGAGGCAATGCTGATTCTACCTCATGGCTATGACCCGGATGAGGAGGATGAACCTGCCTACTGTTTTATCGCCCCTGCACCAGAGGAACCAGCTAGTATGGAGGAGGCATTAGCTGGACCAGATAGGGAGAAGTGGCTGGTTTCTAGGGATGCTGAGTACCAGAGCCTGCTGGAAAATGGGACTTGGGAACTAGTGGTGCTGCCTGAGGGAAAGAAAGCGGTACAATGCAAGTGGGTGCTAAGGATCAAGACCGATGACAAGGGACAGGTCACCATCTACAAGAGTAGGCTGGTGGCTAAGGGGTTTATGCAGAAGGAGAAGCAGGACTTCAACGAGATCTTTGCTCCCACTGCCAAACCCCCTACCCTCCGTGTCTTGTTGGCAGATGCAGCCGTTAGTGGGAAATTCATCATTCAGATGGATATATCAACAGCTTTTCTCAATGGGATTTTGGAGGAGGATGTGTACATGACGCAGCCGCCTGGGTATGAGGATGGTACGGGCAGGGTGTGCAAGCTGAAAAAGTCTATCTACGGCTTGAAGCAGGCACCACGCTGCTGGTACCAGAAATTGGCAGCTGTTTTAGAGGAGATGGGATTCAGGACCAGCAGCTGTGATGAGAGCCTCTTTCTCAAGGGGGAGGGGGAGAAGCTGGTGCTGTTTCTGGTCTATGTGGACGACATTCTTCTCTTCAGCAGCAGCATGAAGGAAATACAGAAAGTGCAGCAACAGCTGATGGAGAACTTCAAGTGCAAGAACCTTGGGGAGGTAAAATACTACCTCGGGATGCACGTGGAGAGGGATCTGGATCACAGGTGGTTGAAGCTGCACCAGGAAAAGTTCATCAAGGAGCTGGGGGAGAAGTATGGGATTGAGAATGAGCGCAAGGTTGCAACTCCCCTGCCAGCAGAATTCAAGCTTGTGAAGGCTGCAGAGGATGAAGGGGTTGAAGCTGAGGAGCAGCAGCAATTTCAGTCCTTGGTGGGCAGCCTCTTGTATGCAGCTGTTCACACGAGGCCCGACATCTCTTTCTCGGTTGGGCAGCTGGCCAGGGTGGTGCAGAATCCATCAGAGGAGCAGGTGGATGCAGCTGAGCGTGTGGTGAAGTATTTGAACTCTCACCCAAGCATTGGAGTTCAATACTCCGCATCTGCACAGGTGAAGCAGAAAGGGGTTGAGGTGCTGAAAGAGAAGGGGGAGAGGCTTGGAGAAGGCAAGCTTCTTCTCACTTGCTTTACCGATGCTACTTGGGCTTCTGAGAAGGAGGATTCCTCATCTGTGGGAGGATACATCTGCGTAGTTGGGGGTGGACCTGTTAGTTGGAGGTCCAAGAAGCAGACGGAGACGGCACTCTCTTCCGTGGAATCAGAGTACATGGCGATGTTCCACGGGGTGAAGGAGGTGATTTGGCTGAGGAGGCTGTTAGAGGAGATTGGCCAGGAGCAGAAGGTCGCTACGCCGCTGTTTTGTGACAGCAAGGGGGCTCTTGGGATGGCCAGAAACGCTGTGCTTCATGGGCTGAAGAGCACATGCGTATCAAGTGGCACTGGCTGCGTAAGGAGGTGAAGAGGGGGACAGTGAATCCGATCTACATCAAGACTCACCAGCAGCTAGCAGACTTTCTCACCAAGAGGCTTGCGGATGAGCCTCATTGGCGTTGTGTGCGCATGAGTGGAATGAGCATGAACTAGCATGAAAGGCAGTCGGCAGGCTGAGGGGGAGTGTGTTGGGTGCAAATTCACATTGGTTGACGTGGTTGCCCGGTCGTCTCCAGGATACCTGGGTAACGAGGTTCTGCGGAAGAATGCGACGGTCGGCCCAGGTGGTTTTGGCGAGACTGACCTCAGTGGTGATATCCCGAGGTCAGCATCGATCAGAAGCAGTCGTTAGCACGATGTTGGCTTGGTGTGTGCGCTAGGTGTTGGGTGCAAATTCGCCAGTACGACATCCTGCCGTCTGTTTGTACGAGTATGCGTGTGCGAATGCATTTGTGTGTAAATGGTGTGTTCGTGTGCTTGTTTGCTTTCGCAATTTTCGCTTGAAGCATTTGCAGGTACTCGCGCAATGTGCGCTTCGGCACAACATTGTACCCGCTATGAACAGTGCAAGCAGAAAGGAAGAGCTCGCAAAGGAACCCAAGATGGAAGCTTTGCAGCCCGGTTCAATTTATTGCGCTAGGTGAAGGTTGGATGTTGTTTGTCTGTATCTGCATGCTACAAGGCCAGGGGAAACCAGCGGAACCAGCATTTGGCTGGCTGGTTCGTAATGGCAGAACTTTTCGCGAGGCAACTTGGCTTATTTTAAAGCTCTTGGAGAGAGCTTCGATATAGCAAATTCTCAGCTTAATCCGATCGACGGTCTGCACGGCACACTGCGCGACGTTCAAGGTACTCTTGCTATTTTGGCTAAGTCTTTCTTGACTCCTCTCTCTACAAACTCGGACCCGAAGATAGGGGCTGGTCTTGTGCCAGGCACCCAGGGACCCTTGGAGGTGACCCCAAGGAGAGGTTTTAAGTTTGATTAAGTCCTAATAGCTTGAGTTTATTAGGCCCTTACACCAACACTAGGCAGGTGACGAGGCACTGCACGCCAATCATCTGCGAGCACCTGCGAAGCAGGTGCGCTAATGTCCTGCGGAAGCAACGTTGGCACGCCGTCAACCTGCGACGTTGGCACGCCGTCGTATTGCAGCATTGGCAAGCCGCGACTCTGCACTGCTGGAGCGCGGTCGACCAAGTCGTGCTGGCACACGGTCGACCGTGCTGCACTGGCAGTAGACTTGCTTGCATGCTAGCTCTGATGTAGTCTAGTCTTGCCAACTTCATTGTACCATTGTTGTGAACTTTTGCTAGTGAAACTCTTGCCAACTTTCCCTGTGAACCAGCAAGTAGTGTAAGCACGAGTAAACGACTAAGTGGTCGAACGCAGAGATAACAGAAGCACCCGTGCCTAGCCCGTAGTCTAGCTCCCGTTGTAGTAGTCATCTTTGCAAGTGGTACAAAGCGTAAGTGCACTATAGCGATATGAGTGGTACAAATCGTAAGTTCGTTACTTAGCCATGTGAGTGGTACTAAGAGTAAATCCGTTACATAACGATATGAATGGTACTAAGAGTAAGTGCGTTACTTTGCCATATGAGTGGTACTAGGAGCAAGTACGTTAATTCGCCATACGAGTGGTACTAAGAGTAAGTGCGTTCATTAGAAATATGATTGAACTAAGAGTAAGTGCGTTAATTAGCCATATGAGTGGTACTACGACAAAATGTGTTACTTAGCGATATGAGTGGTACTAAGAGTATGTGCATTACTTAGCCATGTAATTGTTACTAATAGAAAGTGCGTTACTTAGGGATATGAGTAGTAATAAGAGTAAGTGCGTTATTTAGCCATATGAGTGGTACTAAGAGTTAATGCGTTACTTAGTCATATCAATGGTACTAAGACAAGTGTGTTACTTAGCCATATGAGTGGTACAAAGAGTAAGTGCGTTACTTAGCCATATGACTGGTACTAAGAGTAAGTGCGTTACGTAGCCATATGAGTGGTACAGAGCATAAGTGCGCTACTTAGCCATTTGAGTGGTACTAAGACAAAGTGAGTTACTTAGCCATATGAGTAATACAAAGCGTATTGCTTTACTTAGCCATAAGAGTGGTACTAAGGGCAAGTGCGTTACCTAGCCATATGAGTGGTAGTAATAGTAAGTGCGTTACTTAGCCATATGAGTGGTACAAAGAGTAAGTTCCTACGTTACTTAGCGATAACAGTGGTACAAAGAGTTTGTGTAATACTTAGCCATATGGGTGGTACTAAGAGTAAGTGTCTTTATTAGCCATATGAGTGGTATTAAGAGTAAGTGCATTACGTCGCCATGTGAGTGGTACTAAGAGTAAGTGCGTTACTTAACGATATGAGTGGTTTAAAGAGTAATTGTGTTGCTTAGCCATATGAGTGGTATAAAGAGTAGGTTCGTTACTTCGCGATAAGAGTGATACTAAGAGTAAGTGTGATATTTAGCCATGTGAGTGGTATTACGAATAAATGCGGTACTTAGAGATATGAATGGTACTAAGAGTAACTGCGTTACTTAGCCAAGTGAGTGGAATTAAAAATAAATGCGTTAGATAGTGCTAGGAGTGGTAGTAAGAGTAAGTGCATTATTTAGCCATATGAGTGGTACTAAGAGTAAGTGTGTTACTTAGCCATATGAGTGGTACTAAGTGTAAGTGCGTTACTGAACGATGAGTGGTACTAAGATTATGTGTGTTATCTAGCGATATGAGTCGTACAAATCGTAAGTGCGGTAGTTAGCTATATGAGTGGTAATAAGAAAAAGTGCGTTACTTAGCCATATGAGTGGTACGAATCGTAAGTGCTGTAGTTAGCCATAGTTACTTATAGTATGTGCGTTACTTAGCAATGTGATTGTACTGAGAGTAGGTGCGTTACTTAGCCATATGCGTGGTACTAAGAATATGTGCATTACTTAGCCATATGACTGGTATGTCAGATTATGTTATTTGTCTAGCCTGCAGTGGGGTGCTCAATAGTGAGTACAACCCCTTTAGGGTTTCCTATTTGTACCAACCTGCTTGCTAGTTCAATTATTCTCCATTCTCTTTCTCCAATTCTCCTTCGCATACCCAAAACCCTAGTCCTAGGGCACATCCTACTACCTCTTAGTGTGGGCCTAGGCTACTAAGCCTAGGCCCCACTCCTAGTATTTCTAACATGGTATCAGAGCGAGCACGTTCCTGCCGCTTACCTCTATGGGCCCACCACCTGCTTCCGCTGCCGTACTGTCCGCCGCGCGCCCCGTGGTGCGCGGCGGCGAAACCCTAATTTTTCATCCCGCCGCGCCCTCGAAGCGTGCGGCGGTTTTCTGCCCGCCGTGCGCCCCGAGGCGCGCGGCGGTTTTCTGCCCGCCGTGCGCCCCGAGGCGCGCGGCGGCTTTCTGCCCCGTCGCCCCCGCGTCGCCCTGCGTCGTTCCCGTCGCCCGCGGCCCCCCGTTCCCGTCGCCCGCGGCCCCCCGTTCCCGTCGCCCGCGGCCCCCGTTTCGTCGCCCCGCGCCCCTCTTTCGTCGCCCCGCGCGGACGCCAGCGCCACGGCCAGCCGCGAGCGCCAGCGCGGCCCGTACGGACTGCGCCAGGCCAGGGCGCGCCTCGAGCCGCTCGCCACTGCAGCAGCCGCCCCTGGAGCCGCCCGCCACTGCAGCAGCCGCCCCTGGAGTCGCCCGCCACAGCAGCAGCCGCCCCTGGAGCCGCCCGCCACTGCAGCAGCCGCCCCTGGAGCCGCCCGCCACTGCAGCAGCCGCCCCTGGAGTCGCCCGCCACTACAGCAGCCGCCCCTGGAGCCGCCCGCCACTGCAGCAGCCGGCCCTGGGGTCGCCCGCCACTGCAGCAGCCGCCTCTGGAGCAGCCGCCACTGGAGCCGCCGCCCCTGGTGCAGCCGCCCCTGGGCCCGCGACGCCGCCCCTGGAGCAGCCGCCCCTGCAGCAGCCGCCCCTGGAGCCGCCCACCACTGCAGCAGCCGCCCCTGGAGTCGCCCGCCACAGCAGCAGCCGCCCCTGGAGCCGCCCGCCACTGCAGCGGCCGCCCCTGGAGCCGCCCGCCACTGCAGCAGCCGCCCCTGGAGTCGCCCGCCACTGCAGCAGCCGCCCCTGGAGCCGCCCGCCACTGCAGCAGCCGCCCCTGGAGTCGCCCGCCACTGCAGCAGCCGCCTCTGGAGCAGCCGCCACTGGAGCCGCCGCCCCTGGTGCAGCCGCCCCTGGGCCCGCGACGCCGCCCCTGGAGCAGCCGCCCCTGCAGCAGCCGCCCCTGGCCCCTAGAGCAGCCGCCACTGCTGCAGCTGCCCCTGGACCCGAGCAGCCGCCCCTGCAGCAGCCGCCCCTGGCCCCTGGAGCAGCCGCCTCTGGACCTCGCTCTGCTGCTGCCCTGCGCTCTACCCTACCTGCTCCGCGCTGTTGCTCTGCACGCGCGGTTGCCCGCGCCCTCGTGCGCTCTACCCTACCTGCTCCGCGCTGTTGCTCTGCACGCGCGGTTGCCCGCGCCCTCGTGCGCTCTACCCTACCTGCTCCGCGCTGTTGCTCTGCACGCGCGGTTGCCCGCGCCCTCGTGCGCTCTACCCTACCTGCTCCGCGCTGTTGCTCTGCACGCGCGGTTGCCCGCGCCCTCGTGCGCTCTACCCTACCTGCTCCGCGCTGTTGCTCTGCACGCGCGGTTGCCCGCGCCCTCGTGCGCTCTACCCTACCTGCTCCGCGCTGTTGCTCTGCACGCGCGGTTGCCCGCGCCCTCGTGCGCTCTACCCTACCTGCTCCGCGCTGTTGCTCTGCACGCGCGGTTGCCCGCGCCCTCGTGCGCTCTACCGCCCCGGCCCTCCTCCCCCCCCCCCCCCCCCCCTGCGTCCCCTGGACAGGAGGGTGTGGGGGTGGCGGGTGTGGGGGTGCTCCTTGTGCGTCGCCCCTTCCTTCTCCTCCGTCTCCCACTGCTGCAGCTGCCGCTGCGGGGGGGTGGATGTGTGGGAGACGAGGGAGTGGCGCTAGGGGGGTGATGTGGGCGAGGAGCGAGTGGTGACCCTGGGGGTGTGTGTAGGGGGGAGTGAGACAGTTGGAGGAGGTTGCAGCCTGGTGCTCCTGGTGCCCGTGTGTCTGCAACTTCAGTCGTCGCCTCCTCTCTTCTCTCCCTCCACAGTTCCTCCTCCTCCTCACTTGCCTCCTATGACTGCCACTAGCTTTGCTGATAATTGTGAACTATTGCTGTGACTTCTCACGTGTGCTGATTACACCCCACTTTGGCTATGGGGGTGTGTCAGATTATGTTATTTGTCTAGCCTGCAGTGGGGTGCTCAATAGTGAGTACAACCCCTTTAGGGTTTCCTATTTGTACCAACCTGCTTGCTAGTTCAATTATTCTCCTTTCTCTTTCTCCAATTCTCCTTCGCATACCCAAAACCCTAGTCCTAGGGCACATCCTACTACCTCTTAGTGTGGGCCTAGGCTACTAAGCCTAGGCCCCACTCCTAGTATTTCTAACATGGTACAAAAAGCTAGTGCGTTACTTAGCCATGTGATGTTATTAATAGTAAGTGCGTTACTTATCCATGTCAGTGTTACTAATATTAAGTATGTTACTTAGCCATGTGAGTGTTACTAATAGTAAGTGCGTTACTTATAGATATGAATGGAAAGAACAGTGAGTGCTTTACTTAGCATTTGAGTGATATAAAGAATAAATGCGTTACATAGAGATATGCGTGGTACAAAGAGTAAGTGTGTTACTTACCTATATGGGTGGTATTAAGTGTACGTGCGTTACTAAGCGATTTGAGAGGTACTAAGATTAAGTGCGTTACTTAGCCATATGAGTGGTACAAAGAGTAAGTGCGTTACTTAGCCATATAAGTGGTATTAAAAATAAATACGTTACATAGCGATATGAGTGGTACTAAGAGTAAGTGCGTTACTTAGCTATATGAGTGGTACTACGATTAAGTGTTTTATTTGCTATATGAGTGGTACAAAGTGTAAATGCATTATAGCAATAAGAGTGTTACTAGGAGTAAGTGCGTTACTTAGCGATATGAATGTAACTAAGAGTATGTACGTTACTTAGCCATGTGAGTGGTACTAAGAGTAAGTGCGTTACTTAGCCGTATGAGTGGTACTAAGAGTAAGTGATATACTTAGCCATATGAGTGGTAGAAAGAGTAAGTGCGTTACTTAGCCATGTAAGTGTTGCTAGCTAGAACTATTTATCCATTCTCTGTTTTGTACTGGATATAGTCAATTAATTCAAGCGGATTCTTTTCTTGCTGGAATTTTGTTTCTATGCGGTTCAACGGCGCAATGCTACCCGAGTCAACGCTAGTACGCTAGCACTCCAACGCTAGGCAAACGCTGTCCGGGCCATAACTTCGTAATGGCAGAACTTTTCGCGAGGCAACTTGGCTTATTTTAAAGCTCTTGGAGCGAGCTTCGATATAGCGAATTTTCAGCTTAATCTGGTCGACGATCTACACGGCATGCTGCCCGACATTCAAGGTACTCTTGTTATTTTGGCTAAGTCATTCTTGGTTCCTCTCTCTACAAACTCGGACCCGAGGATAGGGGCTGGTCTTGTACCAGACACCCAGGGACCCTTGGAGGTGACCCCGAGGAGAGGTATTAAGTTTGATTAAGTCTTAATAGCTTGAGTTTATTAGGCCCTTACACCAACAAGCTGGTATCAGAGCTGCGTTATAGTGATCCTCGTTATAGGTAGCTATGGCGGGCAACACCTCGGCGGGAGCTGGTGAATCTTCAGCCCAATATCGTAGCGGCAGCCAAGATCTTGGGCTGAGAAACTTCGCCAAGGGGAGCGCGGACAAGCCAGGGATCGCTGATGAAGGGGGCGCTGAGAAACTTCGCCGTCGAGAAGTTCAATGGCGAGGGCTATGATGATTGGGCCTGGAAAATGCAACTGTATTTCCGTCAGATCGGTTTGCTGAAACTAATGATTGGGGAGGAGCCTAGACCGAGTGACCCCGCCCTTCAGGAAGATTGGGACGAGCGTGCCTCGGCTGGCTACTATTTGATGTCGCAGAGTTTGGAGTTGAACCAGCGTCACCACGTCATGCACCTGCTGCCGGAGGTTGAGTGCGGTCCGAAGGCGTGGACCGTGTTGAAGGAGCTGCACGCCCCGACCTCCGTCGCCGCTACGCTCATGATGGAGAGGGAGCTGTCCGCGTTGCGCTTGAGCGAGGGAGAGCCAGTGCAATCTGCTCTGGACAAGATGCGCGACCTCTACGCAAAGTTGGCGACCGCGGGAATCACCTACCCGGAGCAGACCAAGTGCCTGAAGATGCTATCGCTGCTGCCGGAATCGTGGCTTCAATTCACGAGCGGATTGAGCCTGCCGCAGAACCAAAGCTTGTGGACGCTCGAATGGGTGCGGACAAAGATTCTGGAGGAGGACTTCCGTCGCCGCCAACTGAGGGGTGGAGACGACGGCAGCAGCGGCTACGGGATGCAAGGGAACCGACGTGGCAGAGGACGTGGCTTCGGTGGTGCTGGACGCGGCGCAAAGAAATATGACGACTCCAACGACCAGCAACGACGAAGTACGCGCTGCACCGATCAATGAGGTGTGCTCCGCCTCTGGACACATGTTGAAGGTGGCTGGTGCGGGACGAGCTGCGTTTAAGGGAGCGGATGGCAAGCCGGTAGTGCTGCACGACGTTCTCCTCGTCCCTGACCTGAAGGCCAACCTTATCTCCCTCCGTAAGCTTGGCAAGGCTGGGGTGAACAGAAACACGGATGGGTCTCGCACTTATAAGGGGCAGCTGGGGAATCGGGTGCTTTGGGATCTGCACGAGAGCAAGGACGTGTACAGATCTATGTGGCAGCTGCCGGCGTTGGCGTGGCACAGTGGGGGGCAGGCTGAAGAGGGGTCTGCATCCCAGGGGGAGTGCAACGCTGTTGGAGGGGTTGGTGTGAAAGTGTCGGCCAGATCTGGGGAGACGGATTGGGCAACGGCACACCGACGCTTGGGGCATGTGGCAATGCCCTTGTTGAAGCAGTTGGAGAAATATGGAGCCATTAAGGGCTTGAAGCTGAACGGACAGCCACCTGATGAGAACTGTGAAATTTGCCTGCTTTCAAAGTTCACCCGTTTCCCTTTTCATAGTGTGGCTGGCAGGAGCAAGAAGCCGTTGGAGCTGGTCCACATGGACTTGGTGGGGCCGCTGCCGGTGCAAGGGCACAAGGGGGAGCGGTACTTCCTTACGATTGTGGATGATTGGAGCAGGCTGATGTGGGCATATCCGCTGAAGCAGAAGGACCACGCCGCCTCCACGATACGGAAAATTGGCTGCCGTTCGTGGAAAAGCAGGTGGAGTGTGTAATAAAGCGGATTAGGACAGACTGGGGTGGTGAGTTCCTTGGAGCTGAGATGACGGCCTGGCTCAAGAAGCAGGGCATTCAGAGGGAGCTGACCACGGCTTACACCCCACAGTCCAACGGTGTAGCAGAACGGGCAAACCGGACTATTCTAGAGACAGCATGGGCGCTGTTCATAGAATCAGGGCTTGGCAACTCCATGTGGCCTCACGCTGTCCGGCACGCTACCGTCGCTAGGAACAGGGTACTCACCAAGGTTGGTGATGACTCGTGGGTGCCATTGGAGAGGTGGCTTGGGAGGAAGCCGCCGGTGGACATGCTGAGGGTTTTTGGCTGCGTGGTAGTCGTCCACGTCCCCAAGACCTACCGCAGTAAGTTGGGGGCGAGTGCAATCTGGTGTGTGCATTTGGGGCTGGCTGCTGAAAGCAAGGGATGGCTGTTGCGGGAACCATCGAAGAGTGTTTTGTTTGACAGCAAGGATGTGAAATTCATTGAGGGCATGATGTATGGGAGCTGGGAGAAACAGCCGGAGGCAAGGGTGTCCCAGCAGATGGAGCAGATCACCATGTAGCTGGACCTGACTCCTAGTGTGTGGGAGGAGGGAGAGGAGGCAGCTGCGGGGAAGGTACAGGAGGTACCTGCTGGTGGTGTGGAAACTGGCAGCAGCACTAGTGGAGCTGCTGGACCCGAGGGAGGAGAGCAGCAGCAGGGGAAAACTAAGAAGCTGAAGGGTGTCGTTATGAAGGGATGGGAGACACCCTGCTCCAAGCCAGGACGTATCCGTATGGCTACTAAGAAGCTGACTGCAGGATCAGGTGTAGCGGAGCAGCAGCTTGGGACCGAGGAGGCAATTTTGATTCTACCTCATGGCTATGACCCGGATGAGGAGGATGAACCTGCCTACTGTTTTATTGCCCCTGCACCAGAGGAACCAGCTAGCATGGAGGAGGCATTAGCTGGACCAGATAGGGACAAGTGGCTGGTTTCTGGGGTTGCTGAGTACCAAAGCCTGCTAGAGAATGGGACATGGGATCTGGTGGTGCTGCCCGAGGGGAAGAAAGCCGTACAGTGCAAGTGGGTGCTAAGGATCAAGACTGATGACAAGGGGCAGGTCACCATCTACAAGAGTAGGCTGGTGGCTAAGGGGTTATGCGGAAGGAGAAGCAGGACTTCAACGAGATCTTTGCTCCCACTGCCAAACCCCCTACCATCCGTGTCTTGTTGGCAGATGCAGCCGTTAGTGGGAAATTCATCATTCAGATGGATATATCAACGGCATTCCTCAATGGGATTTTAGAGGAGGATGTGTACATGACGCAGCCGCCTGGGTATGAGGATGGTACGGGCAGGGTGTGCAAGCTGAAAAGGTCCATCTACGGCTTGAAGCAGGCGCCATGCTGCTGGTACCAGAAATTGGCAGCTGTTTTAGAGGAGATGGGATTCAGGACCAGCAGCTGTGATGAGAGCCTCTTTCTCAAGGGGGAGGGGGAGAAGCTGGTGCTGTTTCTGGTCTATGTAGACGGGATTCTTCTCTTCAGCAGCAGCATGAAGGAGATCCAGAAAGTGCAGCAGCAACTGATGGAGAACTTCAAGTGCAAGAACCTTGGGGAGGTAAAATACTACCTCGGGATGCACGTGGAGAGGGATCTGGATCACAGGTGGTTGAAGCTGCACCAAGAGAAGTTCATCAAGGAGCTGGGGGAGAAGTTCATCAAGTATGGGATTGAGAATGAGCGCAAGGTTGCAACTCCCCTGCCAGCAGAATTCAAGCTTGTGAAGGCTGCAGAGGATGAAGGGGTTGAAGCCGAGGAGCAGCAGCAATTCCAGTCCTTGGTGGGCAGCCTCTTGTATGCAGCAGTTCACACGAGGCCCGACATCTCTTTCTCGGTTGGGCAGCTAGCTAGGGTGGTGCAGAATCCATCAGAGGAGCAGGTAGATGCAGCTGAGCGTGTGGTGAAGTACCTGAACTCTCACCCAAGCATTGGAGTTCAATACTCCGCATCTGCACAGGTGAAGCAGAAAGGGGTTGAGGTGCTGAAAGAGAAGGGGGAGAGGCTAGGAGACGGCAAGCTCTTTCTCACTTGCTT